TATATATATATATATATATATATATATATATATATATATATATATATATATATATATATATATATATATGTAATATTTACAATAATTCTGTTTATTAGAAGTATGGTTAAGCACCCCACTGGCGGCTATTTTGCCATTTAATTTTTTAGTGAAAATAACCGAAAGTATCAGACATATGGAGCAATGTTTCGTGCACGAATGTTTCGAGAAATTGTTGCAGCAGTACTGCAACAACAAGCACTTCCGTGGATATTTCATCGTATCATTTCATAACGGAAGCAATTAATAACATCAAAAATACAAAGTGATCTTTAAAGCACGAATTTATTTATCTAGCTGTTTAATAATAATTGTAAGAATTTCTTCTCTTAATTTATAATATATAACTAATAATATAACCTTAAAAAACAGATGCAAAAAATATTTAATTACCCAAAGGTAAGAATAATTATTTTTTAAGTATTTTTAGTGGAAATTTCATTGCAATACCTCCAGTGGTTCAAAGTTATAAAAGAAAATGTTACTGTATTTCTCGATCAGGGGAGATTATTTATATTTGAATCGAGTTTCTTTCTCATTTCTAATAGAATGCGCCGGTGGCTCCATCTCGTATTAATCGAGCAGTTACACATCTCTAGATAATACCATTTATGTAACGAAATCTGTACAGCAGATACCGACCTGCTGAATTCGTAAAGTCACGTGACTACCCTAGCCCCTTTAAGAAAATAGGGAAAGTTACCACCATAGATGGCACCACCATGGGCTGACTGTTGGGCGTTAAAATTTTGTTTGGCATACAATTAGGGTATAACCATTATTTCCACGCACAAATACCGATCGTTTATACGATCGCGAAGTATATAAAATGTACTCTTATTTACTCTGTTGTACGCTTTGGAAGAAGGATGTTCCGTTTTTCCACGGAGCAAGCGTGTTCATTCACACCGTTGTTTTACATAATGTTACAATTACTAAAGCACGGTTTAATCCGAATAGTCAGCATTTTGAAAAGAGAAGGTCCCTTTTCTCAGCACTCTTTTAACCCTCCATGGGCCGAATTTTTTTCGTAAATATAAAAATATTTACGCAACGGAAAATCTATTATTATAAACCTATATATGCTAATTAAAACAAATATTTAACAGCTTAAAGAACTTTATCATAATTTATTCAATTTGTAACTTTGAAGTAACAACGGCTTACGATGTTTCCACTTCCGTGCATAAATGCTTAAGCGTGATGTTCCATAAAACAGTTTGAATTTGGCGTTAAACATCGATGTACGTTGCATTAGGAACTGGTTGCCGAATAGTTTTTTGTGGTCCTGAATTTTCCTCGTCTGACGACAATTCGGTACTAAATTCATCGTCGCTGTCAATAATATTCATGCGTCGTCTGGTAAATGCTACTGGATGATCTTCATCGGACTCAGAATCTAATAAAGAATCTTCGGATCTATTACCGCTAATGCAACTAAAATTCTAATTCCTCTTTTATTTTTATATGATTTTGCATCCATATTTTGCGCGTATTCGATACATAAATTTGAAAAAATAGAAGAAAGTTACAAAACTGTATCCTATACAAATAGTAACAAAATGATTATTGAAATGGGAGTAAATAAATTGTTATCGATATACGAACCCAAAGCTATTATATGCTCCTTCTTTTCTTTAATAAACACCGACAAAAGCACAAATAATCTCAATTGCACAATATGGTCTCTTTGGTTTCTATCTGCAGACAAGTTGCAAGGTATTTATTTTGACATTTCAGGTTGATGGTGCTGCCAACCGTCGTCAATATTGTTATCGGTTATTTCAGAGGCATTATATAATTAAGACGCATACATCATCTTGCGAAGAAAGCTAAAACTATTAGGTAAAATGTGGATATATTAGCTTGTGACTTGAAAGTTACATGGGCCCATAGAGGATTAAATAGTATCAAGTGGAAACCAAAATTTGTCTTCGTGACCGAGGAATCACACGCCGCAAGGGGTAATCTAAGAAGGTGTTGAACGTTGTCGCGCGCACGGTCCAATAAAACGTGATTGCCGCGGGAAACGGGACGTGTCTGAAAAGTTTGCCGGGTCCGTTTGAAAGCGCCACGGTGGTTCGCGGAAACACGCGGCCGCAACACCTGTTTTAAATGGGACGCTTTCGCGTCGATTTACTTGCTTTTCCTCGAAGCAAATAAATAGCCCGGCTGTTCTCCCTGCCCGCCCGTGCGGCTCGTGATCCTTGAATAAAAAAAACCCTTTGAAATCGAGGCGCGCGAGGCTGCGTGCCATTCAGAAAAGTGGCTTAACACGCGCCCGAACGAACGGCAGCGCAAGCGCGACCCGAAAGGGACCCCCACACCTTCCGCCTTTTTTCCTCGTTTTAGTCCTGCCGTGACATTCCTTTATTTTTAGGAAGTCGAGTTGATCGCGCAGACATTACGGGACAACAGCTTTTTGCCGGACTTCTTTCCGTCTGGCGTGTACCAAAGTATTAGGGTGTCCCATAAGTTCTTTCCGCGCCGCGCTACGAATAATTTTAACTGGTTGCGTTTATACATATGAACAGGCAGGCTCATCTCTTGGCTATTTAGAGTATCGGTTTCAGTCGTCCCAAAGCTCTTTTAGAGTACGTTTCGTTGGTGACAAAGTTCCTTATACAATTTTTTCTACGCCGTTCAATATGGATAGCCAAAAGAAGCATTTGCGGCATGTTATGCTTCATTGCTTTCAAAAAAAGTGATAGGGCAAAGAACACTGCAAACGAGATTTGTACCGTTTACGGTGATGGTTCTACGACTATTACGGCAGTCCGCGATTGGTTTAAGAGATTTAGAGCTGGCAATTATGATTTGAAAGATGAAGACCGCAGTGGTCGTCCAACAACGACGGATGCGGACCTTATCAAAGATATGCTTGCTGAAAATCCGCGATATAGTGTGCGCGAGATAGCGGATGCCACTAACATACTCAGGACAACGGTACATAAGCATTTAATCGAGATGGGATATGTGAATCGATTCGAAGTTCCACACCGTCAAATTTTCATCACGACAACGCAAAACCACATGTTGAGTTGGTCGTAAGACAAAAATTATTGCAGTTTGATTGAGACGTTCTACCTCATCCTCCGTACTCTCCAGACATTGCTCCATCCGATTATTACTTGTTCTTCTCGTGAAAAAATTCTCTCCGTGAAAAACGGTTTAAATTCGTAAGCGAAATAAAAACGCACCTTGATCAATATTTCGCAAATAAGCCTCAACAATCTTGGAAAGACGGCATAACGAGGCTTTCTGAAAGATGGAGGAAGGTAATG